CATAAGATCGCAATGATGCAGCCGGGCACTCCCATCAAATGGGCGATTTCCTTCGCGCGGCAAAGAGACGCCGAGCCGCGGTTCTCTCACGAGGACAGGGCCCGCTATTGACCGGCAACAAGACGACCGGCCGACGCCTCGTCTTATTACGAGAGGAGGGCCCAAGTGGCCCGAGCGGTGTGAACGCGCTCTGTTCCCGACTCGGGAAGAGACTCTTTAGAGAAACGTTCTCCACTGGCAACGGGCCATCCATTAACGCGAATTAGAGTATTTAACTCGGCGAGCGAGGAGAACGAGGAAGAGTGCGATCGCGAGAGAGAGAGAGAAAGAGAGGGAAAGAAAGAAAGAGGGGGAGTCAGGAATGAGAATGGAGGCGATCGGACTCTCGCCCGCACCGCATTACAACCAATTGGCTGGATCGTCACGATTTCGTCACCGACGAGAACCAAAATATATACGTCTATCCTAACAATAGCGAGTCGCGTGATAACCTTAATTTGAAAATTTCACGGTGTGAGCAGCAAAGTTTTACACGAAACACGCAGTTGCGTAAAAAAAACGGCGTAACGAAAACGAAGGAAATGCTGTAAAACGGTTCTACGATTTTCGTCGGTGCTCTTTGAAGTTTACCCGACGTGCGGGAGGATACTCAGATCAGAAATATTACGTAATAAAGAGTTGATTTCCTCATCGCGTGCCTCTTTTTATATATCGTCGTCGAACGATTCCTTAATCATAGAACGACAAATCTGTCTCCTTTTCCTTCCACAAAGTACACAGAAAAAGATGTACTATCGGATGCGCTTTAAGCTTTACCGGTTGGAAAACATCCCGCTGTCTCTCTTCCTCCTTCTATCGAGCCGCGGCGTTCGCTATTGATTTCAGGTTTATTCTTGGCGGCTCGCGTTCGCTTTGCTGGCGTCAAAACATCGAAAGGACGAGGTAGGGTGGCCACCGCACACCACCAGTCTTTTGAAACCCCCAATAATCCAAGAGCAGATCGCTGTCGCGAAAGCTTAAACCGCTCCATGTCGACACACTCTCGTGTAAGCACTCAAAACGAAAGCCCGATGCTTAAATTACGAGCACTCCGTTTATGTATTGCGCGCGCGCAAGTGTGCGCACGTGTACATCTGCCGCTGAATTATTATTGCTCGCTTTCTGGATACGACGTAATGGCTGTTGGGCTGTGCTTTACGGAAGAGCAGCAGTGAATAACATCTTCGCAAAAGCCGAACTTGATGCATCTTCATAATATGTAAACGTGTAATTGTTACACCATAGATTTTCAAAAATGATAGTTTTATCATTTTTTAAATATTATTTGCACAGTGTCCAGGTTTATTATAAAGTTAACTCATTTGAAAAGCATATATAATTCTCCGACTGTTTAATTAGAAATTATAATCATCTTGACTGTAATAATTTATCTTGCGAAACTGCGCAAATTTATATACAGCGGTGGCAATCAAATATTTGACATTCGCGTTAGATGAAAACGAGTTAATCTGCAGAAAGCAGGCGAAGAGTTTTGCATGAATTAAAAGATTAAAATATAACAGTCTGCATTACTGACCTAATTACGATACGTTTTATTTCCTTCAATTTAGCGAGCTAATTTATTTTCACAACATCGTCCGCGCTTTGTTATATTCAAACATATAAGTTTGTAAAATCCTCGCGGCCCCGTTTGCAATATAATTCATATAAATTATTAAATTGCGAAATGCTATGTGCGCGCGAAACTTTGCGCGCAAGCCCAATGATGAGACAATTGTGCAGTTCGCTTCAATTCGCACAATTTGCTGCAACTCGCACGAAATAGCTTCTTCCCGTCGTTAGAGCATTCGCTTTTTCTACTGCCAATTCCAACAACGTTGATCCTCCGCCGCAGATCGACAAACCAGTTCCCTGATTTGCCGATTATCTGCCTCCCAACCTCCCAATTTTGGTCGATAAGACAGACACTGTGTGCACGCGAAAAGTGCCATCTTGTTTGGTCGATGGCACTCTCGAAATAGGTCATTTATCTGATACATATATACAATGTGTACATGCACACACGTTCCGTTGGGATAATTCTGACATTTCAAAGTTCGTACCAGTTCCTCCCAACATATGAGGTGTAATATTAACGATGTAATTTCTGTTGAATACTCTATTACGGGTGAGATTGCAATACATAGGGTTATCTCCCTTCGCGCTTAAAGTATTTTTTATACAGTCACAATGGAGATAAACATAAAAAAATACTGTTTTTTAAAATAAATTCTGAATTTTGTTAAACACATATCGCGCTTTTTAATCCAAATCGAATCGATAGTTTTCCGACAATTAAATTGAAGTTAATATTGGTCGAGTTAGAGCGCCGCGGCGCCCGTGAATTCGACGAGGAGATGAATCGCGTAACCATTCGGAGATAACCATTTGTTCGAATATCCAATTAAGCAATATGAGTGCATTGCGCTCTCACAAACGGAATGAGAAGCGTTTCGTCATTCATTCTCTACGCCCGAGGAAGCTGATCGAATTAGCGTGGCGTCATTAAAATTTTTTTCATTATGCTCGTACATGCGATCTTCGTGGGGCCCAGCATGGCGACACGCTTCGCTGGCGTCGAAGGGGAAGCATGCTCTGAATGGTCCCTTGTATGTAGCGCCGCCGTACGAAAAGCGTCATTCTGTCCGCGAGCTAACAAAAATTTTACTAGCAGACGATAAAAAACTGTCGTTGACCGAGCGAGAATAAGACGATCACTTTAAACAAAATTAAATATGACAAACGCGTTAACGTAAGTTTGACACAAGCGAGCACACAAGTAAAAAATATAAGATCGCTAATATTTTATTCAAACGTGTGTGCAGAGTCTAGAGAAAACTTCCGGCTGTAGAATCCCGCGAGCGTAAACGTGACTTAAATTTGATTCGATTTAACACGCCTCGAGAGTTTAATTTTAACACGTCGCGAACTTCCGGCAGCCATCACGACGAAGACATTTCGACTCTGTAACGCGACGAAAATTCCAGCAGAGATCCGCTCTTGTCAAGAGGCACGGTAGTTTTTAAAGACATGTGACTAAAGTCACATGACTTTAGACACGTGTTGTTTTTTCATTTCTTTCTCTCTATTTTTTGAGTTTTTTTTTTTTAGTTTGATTTTCATGCGTTATTTCTGACATCTCTCTATGTGTATTATATGATTTGTAAAACGGTTTATGCTATGCTGCGTTTTTTTGTGTGTTGAGGAGTACTGTAATACTTACCGCAACGTATATTAGAAAAATCACTTAACGGAGCAACTAACGACGACGGTCGGAAGCCGTTTTTATATTTCTTCGGACTTACCGGACCGACGGATTAATGCGTTTTTAATTCTCATCTTTTATTAAAGAGTAAAGTTCTTTATCTTCGTAACGATGAGTCTTTGCACGTGAATTGTGTGTAGCGTCCCGGCCAATCCGAAGATATATTTCCCTCTCAGCGAGGGAAAATTAGGTCGGGATCACCCTTTTCACGTGTGTGTACGTGCGCTTCGCTGTACTTACTCCCTCTTTCGTTGATATTGAGCTACGGAATAAGGAGTAGTCGAAGGGCGAAGTTAGGTAGACCCGATACTTCTCGCGCGGAACTTCTATCCTATTCGCCGCGAGGTCTTTTCGAAAGGTTCCCTCTTCTCGGGAAAATGTAGTACTTCACGTGACCTTTTATCGATTGTCCCTGAAGAGAAGAGCAACGCTTTCTCCCGAATTATCTTCTTTCTTTCGCCGTGTCTTTGCTGCTCATCGGTAGATTCTTTTTCTTAATGTCGCCGATCGTGATCAGACTTCGGGAAATTCGGTCCGTCCCTCTCGCGGGTTTGTTCGCGTTTCACTTGCTCTATGTGTTCGTATAATTGAATCTCGGCAGAAAAAATTGTCTTCGTGATACAAAGTTTGAGAGAATGATTGAATTTGTGTGTACGCGCGGTTCCCCGACTGTAATTGAAATTGCATTAAACTTTGCGAAACCATGTTTCGAAAAGAAAAAAACATTTATATAGACAGCGCAATAAATAAAACTAAATATCGGAATTTTTTAATTTCAATCTACAGTTCGCGTTTCTGAGTATAGTATGTATGAAATTACGACGTAAAATATATATTGAAATAGATTTCTCATAGTCTGAATGTAGAAAAATGAAACATTAAATTGCGCTATATTTCACAATGTTATATCGTCGTCACTTTTGAAATTTTCGTTTTACAAATGTGAGTTGTTAATTTATCAGTCAAGACAAGGATATCAGAAACAAGCGTGAGGAATCATCCAGATCCGCGGTACTTTGTTGCTGTCAGATCTTTCGTAATTGCTGATACCGAGACCTTCATTTCTCAGACTTAACAAAGAACACCGTAGCTCTCTCTTCGGAAAAGTTCATCTCCGTTCGCTCTCGTATCGGCGAAATCCGGTCTAAATCGAGTTTTCAGAAAAATGCTCAAGGTAGGAATAACAAATGGCCCCTTGCTCTCCCGTAGCTGCGCGGTGTCGAGGGGGCGTTCAGAAATAATCTCGAAAGAAGGGAGAAACTGGACAAACCATCTGTAACCTGCCACACGCGCGAGATTGTGGATGGCGCGACCCGGGGCCGAACCATAAATTATAGTTACCCTCCGCTGTCTATGGTAAATCGTTCGCCTCGCCGTGGAACTCTTCTTCCTGCTTCTCCTCCTATATATAGAGATCCTCTTTGTATGTAAACTCGTTTCCATTATCGCGAAACTATACAAGATTTTATCGAATATTGATGAGTTTTCTCGCGTATGTTTGTATACGCTATATTATATTATTAGTTATCAAAGAATGTGTATTGGTTTACAATGCTTCTCTCTATCTCTTGTCTCACTAGAGAACCGAAATATTTTTCATAATAAAATAGTTCCTAATATATTGATGTTTCATGTGGATTTATCGTTGCAAGTAAAAATTGTCATTATTAACGGAAAATTCTATTTTCTTTTGCAGCATATGGTGCAGACAGGGATGGCTGCGCCTTATGGTGGGGGTGTCTTCCCACCTCCGGTGAACGGAGTTGCAGGCGTCGTGGGGGCGGCTGGTGCAGCCGGTGACGTTAAGCCACCACCGCCAGTGCCGGTAAAGGAGGAGAACGCCGGTGCGCCTCAGCAACCACCCCCGGCCGGCGGGCCCCAAGTGCCGCCCGCCGCGGGCGCGCCACATCCCTCCGCCCCTGGTGCGCCGACAGCTACCAGCTTCAGTCCGCCTCCGCCTCCAAATGGAGTTGATCAACAAGCCATCGTAAGTTCTCATCTTTAATTAACGTCTTTGACTTCTGCCGACAAGTCGATTTAATCAATATCGACTAAATATTTTTTTTTTTTTTTAATGATTGCCTAATTCTCGACAGAGAGAGAAGTCTCATGTGCAATACGACAAAATATATATATATCATAGAATTATATTTTTTTACCAATACTCGCTCAATTTCATTAGTCTCATAAAGTAATGAAAGAAATTTCAGATTCTTTGGAAAACATTTTTCTCCAAGCATTTCGTTATACTAGGTCATGCAGCTTATATATCATAGGCTCTCGTTAGAGTAGTTAGTTTCTTTTGCAAACGTTGTCGTGTGGCTCGTGACAATGCGTAATTTCACATTGCGATCCGACGAAGTGGCCTCTCTCGCGAGCAAGTGTTCTTTCGAGAATCTAGTGTACACCGGAGAACCTCTTTTCGAACTGTACACCTCTCTTCCTTTCTTCCTCCTGTTTTCCAGAGCGAAGAGAGAAGGTGCGGTCGTCGTCTTGTCACGTAGTTGCGGCGACGGTCAATGATTCCAGACACGTATGAATGGAGAGGAGACGTCGTCGCATTGGCGACGAGAGAGTGAATTCCGCGAAGAGGGCCCTTGTAATTCATAACGGAATGCGCGTTGATGTGCGAAGGGTTATTTACCCCGGCGAATAAAAGAATTTCCGCTTTTCTCTCTCTCTCTCTCTCTCTACATGCGGTTCATAAAGCAAGAAATGTGCATTTTCTTGCGAGATATATAGAAGAGATAATGCCGTGACTATTTAGAGTCTCTCGGAAACATACGCATTTTTTTCTTGATCGTTTGTTTCAAGCGCATTTTTATTTTTCATATTTGACTTTTAAATTTAAGTAAACTTGTCATGTCTGAGAAAAAAGAAAATAAATTGCGGTTTTCGTGACATTTTCGAATTCAACCATTAATAACAAACATGACAACGATCGATCACGACGCAATTTCAATTTCCTTTCCGTTCGAAAACGGTCGGTGAGAAAACGTCACTCGGTACAGATATTACGAGAGATATAATCCGGCGCCATTAATTCACTTGAAATTCATATTCCGCGTCGACGGTGCGTGGAAAGCCGAAGCTACAATGCGTTTTCGCTACGACGCGTCGGTCGGGTGTCTCTCCCCCGATTCATTACCATTCGGAGATGTCGCACAGTCGGGTTTCCTCCCTCTGTGATTTACGGTCACCACCGTGGGTTACGAACCGCGGTACCATAACGACGGGATAACGACGACGATCGCGTTAATGCTAAATAAATATCGGGAAAAGGTCGGATACTCGCGGTTCGCGACGATAATTGATTTCGCGCTCGGTCGCGTTACAGAATGCAAAAGCATCACTTTTATGTATCATTGCGATATTGTATGCATAACGAATGCGGTGACAAAAGTAATGTTTATGGAAATTTCAGTGTAATTCATCACCGACAACAACGACCGTTAATGTAGATCGCGCGGGTATTTCTCGTTTATTTCTCGCGCGCGTTTATTTTTGACTTCCCGCACAGAGCGCAAATGTGATTTTTTTATTTCTTTTTTGACTTTATTAGCCGAGTTTTCCTCAACTCTCTATAATATTGCAACGCACTGCATAATCCTGGATTCACCAGAACAATAGAACGCTGCGCGCACCGTTATAACACGCACGTAGCATCCATATATTCCGTATACACACACATCCGCGCATATGGTGCGTGCGTTTCTAGTTATCTGGCGGCATACAGATGCGCAATGGCGGCTCTCGAGTTTCCCAGCATTAGGTGAAACGCCGTTGTCCTCTTTCAAGTTAACTCGCACGAGACGACCCTCGTTTTAACAATCCGCCGTCTGAATAGCTTCCTGCGAAAATTTCGATGGCGCGCGGCGTTCGCGACCGCGGCGGCACGACCGGAAGTAATCCGGTTTTGTAACGTACATGTACATCATCGTGCCTATATTTTTTAAATTAGCGGAATTGTATTTGACAAAGAGAGACACTGCAGAAATTTCTCTCCGCTCGTGATTATTTTTGAAATTGAAACTACTTCGCGCATAAAATAATTTTAGGAATACGATATGTATGCGCACAGTTTCTGTGTAGCCATTATTGTGATTATACCTCTTATGTTAGTTCTTTATAAAAGTCGTCTCAGAGCTTCTGCGTGCTTTCTTTCACATATTTTATACTTAGCAGCAATTTTAAATTGGACGAGGAATCAGCAGATGAAAAGAAACACGAGAATCTTGAGACATTCTGTACATATTCTGAAGTATCGTAAAGAGCGGAAATTTCTTTGGCTTTATTTTTTTTCCTCGCTCGCTCGCTAAAAGCGTCAGCGGTATTCAGAGCGACGTTCGTTAGTTGCCGAGAAGTCGAGGCCGCTTTGCCGGCACTCGAATACGCTGAAGAGGAACTTGCTATTCGCCGAGTTCACCGGCGCGAAACTTCGCAATATGCGCTCGCGCAGAGGGTTCGAAAATTTGCCTGCATCTCTCTTTTCGCTTTTCTTCCACGGCGACTCGCCGTTAATGAATATAAAGTCGCGACCGCCGTCGTCTGGAACTTTCTGAAATTGTCAGATATAGCGGACGAATTATGCCCGTCCGCCCGGCACTCTCCAACGCCAGATTATCCGCGCTGTTCATGCATTGCGCGTTGTTTTATTGTTTTTCGCCGCATTACGCCGAGATTTCATTCGGAAGCATTAGGACCTTTGCAAAGCAGTAAGCGCTTTTCTTGATCACTCTTTGGTTACTTGAGTTTCTTCGCTTACAAAAGATTAGAAACTTTGCAGAACTCGAAAAATACCGACATTACTGCAAACTCTTGGTTTAATTTTTAAATCGCGCAGATACTAAAAATATCGAACCGAGCATTTGCAGAAGCTAAATTACAATAATACGCCTTTTATCAAAAACACGCGTACTTTAATACATCAGTAATAACCTTCAAATGTTTATCTGTAAACAGTAAAGTGTTCTTATAAGCACAGTGGGACATTTCTGAACTTCTCGAAATTTTATTTGAAATATGTATCGGAACAACTTTTGTTCGATGTAAAATGCATTGATTTCTCGCGAGAGAAGACACAAGTAAAAGTTAACAGCGGTAATTTGTCGGACGGATGTATTTCCATTCTTTTGTCGTAAATCTTTTTGTTGATCCTTTAAGGAGAGCGGGGACCGGAAAGGTCTGAAGAGCAAACAAATAGCTCGAGTTTTGGAACTATAAATCCTTGCCGTGGAAACGACATGTCTCTATTATTCATACCGGGCTAAAAGCTTCTCGAACTGTACAGAATTTGCGAACGTTTCCCCGCTTGATGACATTATCCGTCTTCTGCGGTTTGCATAATTTGTCGGATTTATCTTGCACGTAAACTTCTCGTGCGTTCCCGCATGTGCGCGCGATGATTTGTGCGCATCTAATTCGGTTGGCGCTAATTTTATATACACGCGAAAACGCACATCGCGCACTACATTGAACAATAAACAACTGTCGACGAGAATTTATTTCTTTCTGCTTTCCAGTCGCAATAAGGAAAATGGATTACTAATCACAAATAACGGTTTTATGTATTTCCAATGATTGGCGAGAAAGTAGCGCAGCTGCGTCTGATCGCACGAGGGAGAGTGCGCGCATTCTCACTCGACTGCCGCCGTTAGTAGTGCAGCCGTGATAAGGTCGGCCATTCGGCTGACCACTTCCAGATATTACCACTCGCAGCTTCCGCCGAGTTTCCGACTTAACGTAAACGATCATATTCTTGTTTTATATGTGTTGCGGTACATGTACACGTTCGCGGTAAATCATTGTTTACAACCCGCGTGAGATTGGATGGACTTGGATAACGGTCGTACATATATATCTATATCTTAGACGTTTTAATTGCGCGCGTAATACGAAAAACGTGTGGTGAAGAACGTTATGTGTACTTTAAACGATTTACACATTTCTCGCTAATGACGTATTTTTAGCTTCGCGCGTAAAAACTTTACAGTGCGAGAAGTTAGAATTTGTAAAATTCCGTAAAACTTTAAAATAGGAAGTTATATCTCTGTGCGGCAGGTAGGGTAGGTAATTTATTACGTTGAAAAAGAGAATTATCAACACAAAATCATTGGCAGTGATTTACCACTTCGTCGGTGTAATCAGTCACAGCGCCACGCAACAGCGTTATGCACCGCGTTTTTCAAGCGTAAGAAGTTAATAAAATTCTCTCTCTGTCTAGATATAAAGAATCACGTAAGTGCGTGCTTAAATAAATATAAATAATTGTTATCACATTGTATAACGTTTCTGACTAATTAATCCTTTATGCGGTATTTTCCAAGATATGTCGAGTACATTATTACATATTAATCGTAAGCTACACAAATTGCAAAAGTTAATCCAAATATAATATAACGTGTCACATCGTGTCACAGAGCAATGTTTCATCATTTCTCTAACTCAGTCATTATTATACCTCGCGTCAACTCTGTGTTACCGTTCGTATTATGTCAACGTGCATTATAGTTTCCAACGCCGAAGTTGGATCGCGAACTAAACTTCGCAGTTGCGTTGTTTGCGCTATTTATTAGCCTTGACAGTTCCACGTTTCTTTTTTTTTTTTTTTTTTTTNTTGATTTACTTGTTCGCCGTGCGCTAATTACTTGACACGTCGTTTATATCTGTTTCTCCAGTAAGCTAAAACTTTTCATCTCTATTTATATTCACATGTTTCTCACATAATAAATCGTGCAAATGTTTGAGATTTTATTTCTGAATGAACAAAACTCGTTCAAGTCGTCAGAAATTCGGTCTGAGGAAACAGAAGCCTCGAAAGTGTTACTTTTCCATTACAAGTCCTATTGTGTCAATTGTGTTCCGTACGATTGTGCGGTTTCTTAGTTTTTTATTGCGTCATTAGGGGAAGAGGCACGTTTGAAATGTCTGTTTTCCGACGACAGTCGGAGGTATTCCAGGCTGCGGTCGCGGCAGCGGCGGTTGCTGCTGCGGGAGGTGGCGGTCAACAACCAGCGCCGACACCGGGACCTGGCAATGAGAGTAACCCCGACGGTGGAGTGGAGGCCGCGTTGGCACCTGTCACCTCGGGCGCGACGACACCGGCAACAGCGACACAAGGCACCGACCTCAAAGGTCAACCAAAGCGTTTACATGTCAGCAACATACCCTTCCGCTTCCGAGACCCTGACCTCAGGGCAATGTTCGGGGTAAGTCGATTTCTATCTTCTTGTTTATTTTGCGAACTGTGTCTTATTCATGGATATGGTCTTCCGCCATGAAATCGCGAGGCTTACAAATTGCGTTTACTTTTCTATTTTCTGTTGTTTTTTGCTTTTATCTCCTTGAGATACTTAAAAAGATTTTTCTAGCGAAGTACAAAGTTTTCCATTAAAACTTACTTTGATACCAATTACTACCATATCTTGTGTCAGACTGAACCCGGAACACGGTTTTGTTTCTTTCCAGCAATTCGGGCCAATTCTGGATGTGGAAATCATATTTAACGAAAGAGGAAGCAAGGTAAGCTTACGTCGCCCTTAGGCTGCGAGCCACCCCTGTCAACCCACTCTCGATAATATCGTTTAGTTTTAAGCTAATATTGTCGCCGAACGAAATCCTCGCATCCACAAACGTATCTTTTACATTTTCTCTGTGGATTTCTACGCCTCTGGATAAAATTTGAACGTAGAGCATAATTATTCGAATTACCAAGCACATACATGTAGTTTTCAAATTCCAAATATTGTTTGTACATCAAATAACGTGAGATAAGAGTATTTTTCACAAATTTTACAGAAACCTACGTTTACAGCAATTACTTGTCGAATGTGCGCGTTCGCGTTTTACATCATTTTATTATTTATTCTTTTCGCCGATCTTATGTTCACGGCATCCATGAAAATTGGCGCCGCGAACGTGACTCGATTTTGCAACCGTGTACATGTGACAATTTCTCCCGTTCGGTTATTGGAAAAGTTTTCCGAGAAGTTGTCGGCGTTCTGGATGCGAGGATGTCGCGGAGAACGTAATGATCTTGTTAAGGGATGCGGCATCACGAACAGCGGTTCCGCCGCCGTTTTCGCTCGTGTATATACGTATCCTCGATACGATGAGGCTCAAAAACTAATATCGCATTCCGAGAAAACAGCGATATTCCTTGATGAGAACGCGAAGTCGTGCTGTCGCAACCTTGCCACCACTACGTATATCCGTCGCTACACGTTTCTTTGCAGCGCGATGGCGACATTCCGTTATCACGTTTTTATGCTAATTTTGTCACAAAGTCGCAAAGTACGAAGTGCCATTGTCAGTTGCTTCACAGTCTTTTGCCTTTTATCGTCGATCGTAATAATGTCATTTTCGATATAATAATAATAATTCGGGATCTCAAAGCTACGCAAAGCCGAGCTTTCTTTTATATTAGGTATTATTATTCTTTTCTAAAGAATATCGAGAATATGATCGATGACCATATCGATTCTCGATGGAAAAGCTTCGCGACGTTGTTGCGCATTCGCAATCGTCAATTGCTTATGCAAACGACTCTGGAGAAAAATAGAAGATCTGTATAAAAAAAAAAACAAATGTAACACTTTCGCATAGTAAGCAAAGTTTGAAATGCAAATTGTCCTCAATATGGATGACGATAGAATGACTTTACGGATAAGATCCGCAGTAATACATCGTGCCGACAGCCAACGTCCGGCAAACAGAACCGGTGCGGTGCATATTCAGCGTCTTTGCATCAAGTACACTCGGAGAGCACTTCATCAAGTCGCAACCGGTAACCCAATATCACACCCGACGTCACGCGTGGCTATCTATCGTTGATTAGAGGTCACGTTTGAGTTCCTGTTAATTACGACATTCGATACAATGTTCTGACGATATTCTGAATTTGACCCGATTTAACCGATTCTAATAAAATCTAACAAATTATTCGCGATGTGTTTTTTTTTTTTTTTTGTTTTTTTGTTTTTTAATATTCGAGAACGGTAATTTTTCATCGAAAAACTGTTCTTTGTTTTATATACAGAACTCGCGCTCGGAATCTAGAAATTATTCCACGCGATGGGGGATTACGCGTGCGAGAAGAGACGGCTTACAAATAATACTTCTCTCGAGTACAGATTTGCACAAGATATTTCCGGCTAGTTAAAGTACAAAGTTCAATAAACTTAGCGCAAGAATATCGTGAAAGATAAGTCTCTAGGGAAGATCTCGCCCATTTCGAAAAGTTCTCGAGAGTTCTCGAAATGTCTTTAACTTTCATGTTATTTTATCTTATATAATACTTTTTCGCGTTGCGTCATCGATGTCACTTTGCTACCAAAGTTTTCTCACAAGCAAGTATTTGCGAAAGTCACAAATTGTGGCGTTTTATATGTATTTGTACAGCAGATGTTATTTTTCTTACTTTCGCGTTGTATCTCGCAGTCAGTTTTCGCAGACATTTTGTCAAACACATTGCATTATACTTCGACAAGGTTTTTTTTTATTCAGTAAACGAAAAAGAAGAAATCAATTGTTATTTGAATCGTCGCGGTGTAAATTTTCGCAATCAATCTACAACGTAAAACTTCGCAATAGCACATATTAGTCGTCATATTGGACTATTATAGTTGATTCCGGTACGTCTGGGTCGTGACGGGCTTTACGGACAGGAAGTCGATGTCGCGCGGCGCATCCGTACTTGTAACGACCAATCACGGGACGTAATATAGAACGCGAAATGGGCTGCTTTCAGTTTCCGGAGGTGGAACGCGTCGACGACGACGACGACGACGACGAGAGAAGTAATTAAACTCTTTCGCGCGAGTCGTAATTAGAGCGACGATTGACGGATCTCGAGGGACGTGCACTTTTATTTCTGTGACGCGCGAACAAAGACAACACTTACACTATTATGTACGCGATATATACGTGCAATTTCTTTTATTTTTCTAATCGACTCATCGGTATTGGCTGTTTATTACCGCAATACGCGTATGAACGACGAATTAATAAGCGCGCAATCAGTTGTAAATAGAAAAATTATATTATCATCTGAGATAACAATGAAAAAGCGCGGCATTTATCTCACATGTGTAAATAGCTTTGCGTTTCAAAGCGACAATGGCACTATCGTTCGTCTTGTTTGCAATGCAGATATCACAAGACTTCTACCAGCGCGCGCAATCAAGCAAACGCGAAATGTACTTTGAATAGAAGTTGAGTGTCGCCATCGTTTCTAGTGCTTAAGTGATTTCGAAAAGCGTGACGGGATCTGATGCTTCGAACAACACACGTATGTTAATTGACGCGTAAGTGAATAATTTTTTTACCGGCTTTTAGTTCACAAGTGAGACAAAACCAACAAGTATCAAGTGTGAGCGAAATGTTTGAATGTAAAAATTTCGTAAATCGTATCAAGATATTGCATTACTTATCTGTTGCATGCCATATTGTTTAAAATTATTAAATGTATATAGTAAATATATTTGTAAAAAGGAAAACATTAATTACATTATTGGTGTGTATTTTTGATAACAGAGAGTTTAATATATTTTGTTTAAATTTTAAGCGATAAGATCCCCTCACGAGTTTCGCTAAAAGTTTCAATCGTCTCATTGCTTTTGTAGAATGCACGTGAAATGACAATTTCACGCGTCGATAATTCAACGCGATAATCCAATCTTCCCACTATTTGCCATCGAGTGTCGAATTGAAAAAACAAGAAAATAAACGGCATCTCTTGCATGCTGCAAAAGCAACGTGTCATATATATGATATAAAAACAAACGAGTGAGTGATCGTGTGTGACTATGTGAGAGAGACCTTTTCTCGAAAGCTTCGTCAATGTAAATGGAATGTGGCATCCCTAATGAAGTGCAGCATTTTGGAAAAAGAGATTCTTTAAAACCAAAGTGAGAAAAGTGCGCAAACCGACGATATTAATTAACGATAGTTTTTAACTGTGTATAAAATATTTATATTTATAAACATTTATATATAATTATATGTAATTATATATAATTGTACATATCTCTCTTATTAATTATTTTTTTAATTGCAGTAAAAAGTAAATTTCTTAGTTTTGTTAAAACGAAGAAATGCATTTTTTTTTTTTTTTTGTACATTATGTGTACGCGTCTCGAGATGTTTCGGTGCGCGCGCTTTTCTGACGTCGCGTATGTGCCAATGACACGTACATACATATATCGATATATATAACCAATGGTGTTAGTTCTCGTAGTTGTTAGACGAGCTGTTGCATTTTTACTAGCTAGCCTTCCGCATTTTATCATTATGTAGCTCCCATTGGTTATAAGGTCGGCATCTCATATACCAGGTGTTCGCAGTTGCCTACATTAATAAATTGGCATCGCGTTCGAGGAAGTTTGGAAAAAAGTATAAAGAAAAATTACGTTGCTGTTTGCGAATAATCGAACTTTTATTTATTTATGTCTTTTTTACATTGCCAAACAAAGGTAATAATTTATCAGACAAGTTGCAAGAATTTACAAACAACGAGCAATTGAATTCAATTATATTTTACGTATTTACAAATGGTTTAAAGAGCGAAAACAACTTAAAAACTGTTTTGTTACAAAAAGAACTGCAACTAATGAGTTTACCTGACGTTTTTATACATCGCAATAGCGATTAAAGTTGAAATGAAGTAAAATCGAACACTCTCGGTAACAATTGGCAGCAGCGGGCACGCGGTATATCGGGTGATCCGATCACCGTCACTTCCGGTCACGGAGGAGACCCTCGGGAGATGCTGCCCATTTGATTTGATGAAACTTTGTCGCGTCTCTTTCCCGAAGCTGTTTTCTAACCAATTCCCTTCTCCTCATCGTTCCCGTCGTCGTTCCACCACCGAGTAGTTCCAGGGAGTTTCGAGGTGCATTTAGAGCCACCGAGACCAAGAGTCACGACCGCAAGAGCAATGAAACAAAACAAAAAAAAAAAACGAAGCGGAAGTACAAAAGTAAGCTCACGAGGAGAGACGGGTTTTCGTCCTGAAAACGCCTCTCTTCCCTTTGTCGTTTGTTTCTTTCCGGGATCAGACCAACGTCCATTGAAAGTTTAGCCGCTGTCCACACACGAATGGTTCACACCGCGGCGAATCTTTTATATACTAATCCACCTGCAATATATAAACAGCATGATACGTATATATTATACTATTGCATCTTCCGAAGTTCATCGAGTATACGCATATATGACGCGACGAGAATCCGCCGTCCATATATGTGCATACGCGTTATACGTACATATCTCTATCTGATTGTTATCATTATTATATATGTAAATAGTAGCCGCACGCTTTTGTCTAGGCGAATCGAAGGTATATAATAAACGGCCCATGCTTCTACCTCTTTTATTAATCACGTATGTGTCTTAGGATAGAGAAACGCTGCTTACGATTCCGCCGTGTGTTTCTTTTTTTTTTTCCTCTATAAACGGCGGAAACGTCTCACACCGTTGGCTCCTCGTTTTTGCAACGAGTACTACTGTTCTTATATGTCCAT